TCCATCCTACAATTGTTATATGAAACTTAATTTTGTTAACCAATAAAAATCCAATCACGATGAAAGCCCGCTATGCTAATTAAAGCGCATAATTCGCAACATAAATAGTTGTATGAAAAGTATAAACGTAAAAGGTAAAATAATACAGAAGAGAAAAAAACCATCTTGAAAATTCTTGGCATCCATATAATAAAATACGTGTTTATGCAGAAAATCAAACTAACAATCCCGCTTCAATGAGAATGTATTCTACTGAAATCAAATCAACACCATGTCTGGCGCAAAACGACCGATGAAAATACAAGAAAAATAGGAATAATGAGACCAATAATAAGCATGATGGTCCAGGCTGAAAACCAAACTCTATGCGTTCGAAAATTTTTATTTCGTTATTTAATGATCTTTGTGATACTTCCAATGCAGCCTTTATATTTAAAATTTTCCAGAGCGACAAATCATTTGAATGTCTACCGATTTACATTTTTTTTTTTGGTTTTTACTCTATATTTAACAAATATCATTATGAATCCAGCTTTTTACACATAATGTTGCCCTTGCTGTTTCTGGATGTAATTGATTTCTCATAGCTGTTAAAGTATGTCCTGCTACGGAAAAAGCCTGCTCAGATGCAACACTGGTTGCTTGAATCGATAGGTAATCTCGCGCTATTTGGCTTAAAATCGGATATTTTTTCATTTGAGTTTTCCACCATAATAATGGATCAATATTGTTTTCAGTTCCACCCAGCAGATATTTTTCAAGTTCATTTGCTATGTTATTATGAGTAATGGTGGTGGTGGCGGCGGCAGAGGTGGTAGTGGTAGAGGTGGCAGCAGCAGAGGTGACAATGGTAGAGATGGCGGCAGCAGAGGTGGTGGTGGCAGAGGTGGTGGTGGCGGCAGAAGAGATGGTAGCAGAGGTAGTGGTAACAGAGATGGTGGCAGCAACAGATAAACTTGATGGTGAGTTGGTACAAAGCATTTTAAAGAAGTTTCGTGTATCTGTTAATTCATCTGTAATTATTGTAGTTGATATAGATGATGTTAAAGTGAGATATTCTGTCAGGCAAATAATTGAGTCTTTAACATTGTTTTTTTGCTCATCTGTTGAAAAAACTGATAATTTTGTTCGTGGATCAAGAACAGCTGAAATTTGAGATGAATTATTCATAAAAGATCAATACTCATTCAATTTTTGATATATAGCATGTGCCATTAAATACTCAGAGAATTCTTCATTATTTATATAATGAACAAGATGTGCTTGTATTCCGAGAAAAACGACTTGAATATCACCATGTGTTGGATAATTTGATGCTAAAAGAAGACGAGTGGCTCTTTCGATTGGTATAAGTAAAATTATAGTATTCTTTTATAATAAATAAAGATTAATAATTTAATATATTTGTAAAAAAATATATATTTTAGAACTTACCTGAATTTTTTGACGATCATTATTACTTGAACATTTTCTTTATATAATTCGATTATTCATGGCAAGCATATTTATGGCTGGTTCCATCTTTTGCCATTTATCTAACATATAGTATGTAGAGTTCCATTGCATTTTAATGTCCAATTCTGGTGCCAAATACTTGATATTTTTTATATCACACAAAACTTTCAATTCTGCATTTGTTGTTGAAGAAGCTTTCAAATATGACATTAGTGATCGAACTTTCAAAATTGATTCATCGATGAATTCCATTCCTTGATTGACTGCAAGGTTCAAAACATGAGCCGCACACCGATAATGAGCAAATATAAGATTATTAAAATCTAATTTGAGTTCTTCAGCCATATAGTTAGCACATCCAATCATTGATGAGGCATTGTCTGTAATTAATGCCAAGGTTTTTTTGGTCAAGTCAAATTCTTGAAGAACATCCATTATTGCAGTTGCCATATTGATACCTGTATGGCAAATTGAAAAAGGTATAATGTCCAAGAAAAAATTTTTTAATATCCAATTGTTGTCGACGAAGTGAATTGTAAGACTGAGAAAAGCATCATATTTGATACAGTCCACATGTTAGATGTTAATGAAACTTTTTTGAAATTTGAACAATTGTTTTCTTAATATCCATTCGTTTTTCTTCAAATAAACTGAGAATTTGTTGCTTGGTTGTCTTTCGATTATGAAAACTGTATCTTTAATCAAATGTTTATATCATCTCACATCACTCTTTACATTTAACAACAGTAAATAGTTATTGATCACATATAATCCACTTAATTATAGCATTATCTTGTACTTCTTGATCTTTTTTTGTATATGAATCTGTTCGATATTCATAAAATGTTTTTGTTATTTATGTGGTGTATTGATGTGGTAACTGAGTAAATGACATCTTAAGGATATTGTACTGCTTGTTTTTTGAAAAACTGATTGACAAGTATGGTAGACAAGAAGTCTAGGATGTCTTTCTGTATTTTTATCAAAAAAAAGCCAAACTGATGATGTAATTTTTGGTCCTCACTGAATTTGATTGGAAGATCGTGCTGTTGAATAACTGGATTCAGATAATGTAATATTATTTGCTGATTTTTCTGGCAAAATATCTTCATAAGTAATATCTTCATTATTATCCAGGTCATTGGTTATAAATTCTTTATCATTATCATTTATTTTCAATCGAAAAATTAAAGAAAAAGAATCTAACATTTAACCAATCGGGTTGTTTATATATTTTTATTGGATAATCGATAAAATTTTTTTTTATTATCTTATAAACCGGTTTAAACCGGTTTAATTTTTGCAGACAGAAAACTGATAAAACCAGTTTGAATGACCAGTTTTAAACTGGTTTTAACAGACCAAACCCATCCCTATATAATACTAGACTATAGCTAATATTAATCTACTTTACTTTTTAATCTTAACTATAAACTTATACTTTATAAATAAGCTTAAATATATTATAATGGAACTAATTAGAAGTGAAAATTTTGCTACCAGTTTAAATCACTTAAGCTGTTAATCAATTTTTGTTAGAGAACAGATCTATTTTGCAGAGATAAATAGGACAATTGGATACTTTAATACTTTTTATCTTGAATCTTTAAAAAGGTAGTATACTCAAGTAGTTTAAAATTAGGAAGTTCTTTTCTTATAAGACTTATATTATTATTCGGTAAGACATCTTTCACATCACATTTTTGGCTTACTAGCCTCTGGAATTATTAAGTGCCAGGATACATATACTTTTTAGTAAGTGCTTTAAGAGCTTACTTTTTTTGATTGGCATACACTATCAAATCTAGAGGCACGAATACCAAGTAAAGTATGACTCCTATTATTTTCTAGTAAACATTTCAAGAAAGGAAGATTAATTGACTTTGGCTGTCAAATCTAGGGGCATAAATGCAAGCAAGACACAACTCCTATAGGGAAATTCTCTTCAGCTAACTATAATCTATCCAGAAATGGTATCTATATCAATGATCTCTTTTAAGTAGACTTATTTCTTAATAATAAGAAATATAGTAGGACTTTTATTAAAGTTAGACCAGAAGCCTTTTCTCATGTAACCTTTTCTGCTTCAATTTGTTTTTAGTTTATAATTATCAGAAAGATTGAAGGTTTCATCTTTATATAGTCTAACTGAATTTGATCAAGATCTAAATATTTGAATATAACATTTGTAAAAATCCAATAAAATTCACAAATGAAAAATAAATTTTATACTTTTTTTTTTTTTTTTTTAAACCTTCGGCCAAGCCAAATTTACTTGTATTTATTAAATTTATTCTCTGAATATATTTCTATACTCTGAAGTAAATTCTGTTATATAACATATATAATGAAAGCCATCTCTATTATAGTGGCTTGTAATGCTAGAACTTGTCTCTAATTCCCTTGGAAGATTAGCTACAGAGGCTCAAACCAGCATGCCTAAGCTACACTGGTGGTCTTAAATGATTTTTCCTGCATATATTCTATTTTCTAACCATGAAATATTATAAGGGGAAGTGAAAAAGGAATGGGGTAGTACTTATTTTGACAAATAGAATCAGGAAGAGACACCAGGTACAATGGGGAGAGAATCATTAAACCTTCTTTTTCCTAAACTGGACGCCTTCTACACCTTTGTTTTTCCTGCTTCCAGTGATTATCGTAGCACTAACCGGATGATCATTACACCACAACACCTTTTCTGGAAATCACAATCTTAACGCTTATCAGATCAGCATGTAAATAGGCTTCTTATAAGAAACAACGCTTTAGCAGATCACAGTGCCAGATACCATATTAATTCTATTCAACTGCCTTCACTTGGGGTTGAACTGGTATCTTGTGATCTGACCTGTGGAGTACTAACCACTGTGCTATAGACCTACAGATCTAAAAATAAATTTTATACATTTTGTTCCTTGTGAATATTGAATTAGGAATATGTATTTAAAGACCAGGAAGTACTATCTACTGTACTATTGAACCATTGGTTTTTATTATTGATATTATTATTATGATAACTAATAGTTTGATTTTAATAAAATATGATTAGTCAAAATATAATGATCTTTTAATAAGATAAATTAATTTGATTTTTGATAGAAATATATATATATATATATATATAAGTGAAAAAGATATTAAACTAAAGACTTTTTCCTTTTCTTTATTACTATAGTACTGGAAGTCTTAACTCAAAATTTTGTTACATGCAATATAAATTAGCATATTATTTGAAATATATAATATAAACATCATATATATTGTTGTATTGCCATAAAAGAAAATTTGATCGACAATACAATTCCAAATTAAATACAAATTCCAATTATTTACTATATGTTACTTAATAATTCTACCATAATACGGTTTTTGAAAAATGATTGAATTCAATTCCACCATATGTATAATAAACACCAATCAAATTAGTATAATTCTTAATTATTATTTATGTAAAATAATTTATTGATCAATAAAATATTATAACCAATAAAATTTATTAAATTAATCAATTAAATAATAGTTATATAATAAATTTTGTTTTAATTTCTAAACTAAACATAATAAAATACTCAAAAATAAAGAAGTTTAAACTATTATGATTTTTATATTAAAGTTATTTAAAAATTCTAATTGATAATTTGAAAGAGCTTATTTCAAAGAACAATATTACCAGTTTATTTTTTTCAAATCTATTCTTACAAAGTTGTAATAAATTTTAAAGATATTCTATTTATTTTTGAGTTAAGACTTTTTACACTATATAAAAAATAAAAAAATTCTTTTTTAGAGCAAACTTATCAATTACTTAAATCAATACTAATAACCCATCTTCTTTAAAATAAAAAATTATCTTTGCCAATATTAATACATCACTTCTTTCATACTTTAACTTTTGCTATACATAAGTCAATTTTAAAAGTTTGATTGAAAAGATTCAAGTTATATAAGAATAGGACTCTTAATTAGATTTTTAAGACTAAGGATCCTAATAATTCTTTTTATTTTATATTTAATTCTTAAGTTTATATTAAATTTAATAGGTGAAATATATCTTACTATTATTTTTAATAGTATTTCAAACCTTATATAATTCTATATAATTTT